CCCCCTCAGGGAAAACCCCCTTCTAAGACTAAGGCTCAATGGGAATGCACGTTTTAATTGGTGACCACATTCGTCACTGATAAGGGGAAGTGAGGGAAAAACAGCAATGAAGCTGAGAGCTAAGCCCTACCGCATTCAATAAACTCTTGTGAACCCAGGTGGAGAACTGGTTGGCCAGCAGTGTGGCAATACCTGGGGACTCTTGGGTTCAGAGTCAGTGACATAGCCACAGAGGACTAGAGTGGAGAATGAAGCGTCCACTTGATAAGAAGAGAGGGCACGTGCATAAGTACATCCACACTTACAGATAATACCCACTTGACCTGGCTTCAATGACTGAATGATCAGAGCTCAACTAGAAGACGAAAGAAGAAGGGAAAAAGAGTAATCTGATACAATTTGATGAACTTGACCTACACCTATGGAGGCAGTAGCTCAAAAGAGGGAACAAATCTTCATAGCGAGGATCATTCCTACCTCCTCCACACACGGAGAGGACAGGGATGGGCAACTTGGACATTGGCTACCCAGAATGGAGGGGATACAGAGGCAAGAAGTGACTGGCTTACAAGCTTTCAAGAGGGAACCTAGAGCTAGAGGGCGTGGAGCAAGGTAGAATCTCCACTGAGTAGTATACATTCTGCCTAGATGAAAGGAAATGCTGATAGGTCTCTTGTGATATAATAGTGAATAATTGTTATCAGGATTGATTGTAAGGGATGGAAATGTAAAGGTAGATGTTTTGGGGCAAAGAGAGGGGAATGGTTAACCTTGCAGTCTGGGAGCGGAGGTCCCTGGGACCATCAAAGCAGAAGAGCAGAGAACAGAACCCTACCCAGAGAAGCAGTGATGCCAGGGATGGAGGCAGAGATGATGATGTGGGGAGATGGAGCATCTGGGGACTTTGGACCCGGAGAGGGAGAGGGGCGGTATGTGGACGACAGGGTGGAGCCTTGCGGGGTATACCCTTTGGTTGATGGATGATGCATGGAAGGGATTATAACCAAGGCAAGGAAATGATATACAACGGGATCAATGTGAAGCTGATGTCTTCCCATGTAAATGATCACATAATTCACAATAAAGCATTAAAAAAGAGAGAGAGAGAGAGAGAGAGAGATTTACAGCCTCGGAAACTCTGTACAGAGTTGCTATGAGATGGAACTGACTTGACGGTAATTAACAATAACAGGAAATGTTTCAGAAGGTGGCAGCTTCATCTTTCTCCCATGGAGTGGCTGGTGGACTTGGACTGCTGACTTCTCCAGTAGCAGGATAGTTCTTAGCCAACAGGACCATAAGGAATTCTCCACCGCAACAAGTTGCTTAAAAAATATTAAAAATACACTAAAGGAAGTGGCCATAGGATTCTTACATATCTGCATGTTTCAAGCATTAGTGGCACAGTAGGATAAGTACTAGACCACTAACTGTGAGGTTGGTGATCAAACCCAACAATAGCTCCTTGTTGTTGTTGTTGTTGTTAGGTGCCATCAAGTCGGTACCAACTCATAGCGACCTTATGCACAGCAAAATGAAACACTGCCCGATCCTGGGCCAACCTCATTACTGTTGCCACGCTTGAGCCCATTGATGCTGCCACTTTGTCAGTCCATCTCACTGGGTGGTCTTCCTCTTTTTCTCTGACCCTCCACCTTACCAAACATGATATCCTTCTCCAGAGACTGGTCCCTCCTGACAATATTTCCCAAGTATGAGAGACGAAGCCTGGCCATCCTGGCCTCCAAGGAGCACTCTGGCTGCACTTCTTCCAATACAGATCTGTTGGTTCTTTTGGCAGCCCATGGCACTTCTAATATTCTCTTCCAACACCATAACTCAAAAGCATCAATTGTTCTATGGTCTTCCTTATTCACTGTCCAGCTTTCACATACATAAGAGGTTATTGAAAATATCATAGCTTGGGTCAGGTGCACCTTAGTCCTCAAGCTGACATCTTTGCTCTTCAATACTTTAAAACCTTGGAAATCCTTAAACAGTGTGTTTGGGAGTGGAACCACTAAACAACACTATACCAGAGTTTAAAAGGGCAGGGGTGGCTTGGTCATAGTTCAAAAGGTCAGGGGTTGTCTTGCACACAAGAGATCCAAGTTTGATTCCTGTGGCCACCACCCGTCTCTCAGGGGAGGCTGGCATGTGGCTATGATGCTGAGTAGGTGTCAGCAGACTTTCCAGACTAAAGTAGAGTAGGATGAAAGGTCTGGCAATCTACTTCTAAACAGCAACCATTGAAAATCAGTCCCAAACCATCTATTTCTGAAAAATCAGCCAATGGATCAGAGTGATCTGATGTACAAGAATCATGGGGATGGTGCAGGGCCAGGTCCTGTTTACCACTGAGTCCCCGTTTCTCCACAAACCATGGAAATACCTGTACAGTGTTTAGAGTCAAGCCATGCTTTCCAGGTGGCTAGGCAGGGAGGGCCAGGACTTAAGATGGTTATTGTTGTGAGGTGCTGTTGAGTCTGTTCCGACTCATGTACAACAGAGGAACCGCTGCTTGGTGTGGGGCCATCGTTTTTATAGGGATGGGCGAAAGTCTCCTTTTCTCACCTAAATCTCAGTGAGCTCAGAAGTTGGATGAGATAGAGCCTTCATTTGGGCTCATCACTGGACCAGCTGAGAGGGAGGCACTGCAGAAGCCAGACAGTGGGGTGACAGAGAATGTATGTAAAGAGGGCTCTTGTCTGCCTCTGTCTGGTGGAATCACTGCTGCTCCAGTCCCTGGCATGTGTTGTTGTTGTTAAGTGCGGTCAAGTCATTTCTGACTTACAGCGACCCTGTATAGTATTTCCAAGAAACAACTGTTAGGTTTGGACTTCCAACCTCAACGTTAGCAGTCCAGTGTTTATTCTACATTTCCACACCAGGACTTCAGCATGCATTGGTACAGTTAGAATGTTGCAGCAACAGATGACGTTGACTTGATATTTTTTCTCCCTTTCCTTGTACAGCTGGGGTCCCATTGCAGAAACTGGCAGCCTACAGCTCATCTAAGGCAGCTCTGATGATGTTCTCAGGCGTTCTGAGACAAGAACTTTCCAAATGGGGAGTCAAAGTAATCATCATCCAACCCGGAGCCTTCAAAACAAGTAGGTGTCGGAGTCCCGGAGCCCTGCAGTATTCACACCCGAAGGAATCCCAAAAGCCCCCTTTTCCTGGTAGAGCTAAAGACCCCTCAGTAGTAGGACAAAGAGGATTAAGGTGGATGGGCTTCTTCTCCAAATAGATGGACATGTGCCAAGCTCTTCAATGCAGACGACAACCTTGGCTTCCTTCTGGAGTTCCTGGGTGGTCCAAATGGTAATCATGCTTGACTGCTACTGAAAGGTTGAAGGTTTGAGTCCACCCAGGGTTGCCCCAGAAGAAAGACCTGGCTACCTAATTTCAACAATTCAGACATTAAAAACCTTATGGAGTACAGTTGTACTTTGACAAACACAGGGACACCGTTAGTCACAGTAGCCTTAACATTCTTCCCCACCCCACCAGGACTCGGTACCTATGACATACACATATATGTACAAGGGGGCTTCAGAAAGTTTCTGGAAAGCCAATGGGATTTTTCACAAACTTGTGACCCCCCCCCTCGTATGTATGTATGTATGTATGTATATATGTACATGTATCTATGTATCTGTATCTATCTGTGTGTGTCTATGTATGTGTATGTTTTATGTATGCTTATCTATGTGTATTTATGTGTACATATGTATCTATGCATGGGTATGCATCTATGCGTGTATCTATGTATATGTATCTATGTGTGTAGGTATGCATGCCTATGTAACTATGCAGGCATGTTTACCTATGTGTGCGTGTGTATCTATGCATGCATATGTCTACGCATGCACGTATAGCTATATGTGCTTGTGTATCTATGTTGCATATGTATCTATGTATGTACATATGCATGTGTGTTTATCTATGTGTGCGTATGTAGCTACACATGCGTATGTATCAATGTATGTAATTACACGTGCATATCTATGCATATGTATGTGTCTATGCATGTGTGTGTAGTTATGCATGCTTGTGTATCTACATGTGCCTATGTATATGTTGTTGTTAAGTGCTATCAAGTCAATTCTGACCCATAGCGACCCTGTATATAGTTTCCGAGGAGCAGCTGGTGAGCTCGAACTACTGATTTTGTAGTTCAAATGGCTTTTCAGTCTGGCGCATTAATCTACAGTGCCACACCAGGACTCCATGTATGTATATATGTATGTGTATATATCTATGTGTGCATATGTAGCAATGGATGCGCATTAATCATGTATGTAACTACGCATGTGTGTGTATCTACGCATGGGTATGTGTCTACATGTGCGTATGCATATATGTATGTGTATATACACATGTGTAGACACATACTTATGGATAGATACCCACACATGTAGTTACATATGTATATGTATGTGTATATATATGGACGTATATGTATGTGTATATATCCATGTGTGTATGTGTAGCTATACATGTGTATTTATCTATGCACGTAACCACACACATGTGTGTGTCTACACATGAGTACGTGTCTACATGTGCGTGTGTATGCATGCATATGTGTCTTCACATGTGTGTAGCTATACATACTTGTTTATCTATGTGTGCTTATGGATCTATGTATATATGTGTGTGTGTGTGTGTGTGTGTGTATCCATGTGTACGTATGTAGTTATGCATGCTTGTATATCTATGCATGCATGTATGTATACATGTGTATAGTTATGTGTGCGTGTGTATCTACACGTTTGTGTCTTCACGTGTGTAGCGATGTGTGTCTCCACATGTATGTCTATGCATGCATGTGTAGCTATGCATGTGCATGTGTCTTCATGTGCTCGTGTAGCTATGTGTGTGTGTCTACACATGTGTATGTGTCTATGCATGTGTGTGTATCTATGCATGCGTATGTGTCTTCGTGTGTGTGTGTAGCTATGCATACATGTGTATCTACATGTGCATATGAATCTATGTATCTATGGGTATGTAGCTATATGTGTGTATATGTCTTTGTATGTATATGTATCAGGAGAAAAATTTGAGTTTGTTCCGCTAAAGACGACCACCTGGGACTCTGCTCTACGGGATTGCTATGACTTGGAGTCTGCTCAGTGATTTACACTCATTAATAAGAATCACTCTGCGGGAGAAGGCTGAGCAGTCTGCTCCTGGAGATATAGAGTCTTGGAAACCCTGTGGGGGAAGTTCTACTCTGATGGTTACTATGAGTCACAATCAACTCACTGTTTTTTGTTGTTGTTATTGTGTGTGTATGTTGTTGTTGTCAGGTGCCATCAAGTCAGTACCGACTCATAGCGACCTTATGCACAGCATAACGAAACACTGCATGATCCTGGGCCAACCTCACAATTGTTGCCATGCTTGTGCCCATTGATGCTGCCACTTTGCCAATCTATGTTCCTGGGGGTCTTTCTCTTTTTCTCTGACTCTCCACCTTACCAAACATGATATCCTTCTCCAGGGACTGGTCCCTCTTGACAATATGTCTGAAGTATGAGAGACGCAGTTTGGCCATCCTGGCCTCCAAGGATCACTCTGGCTGTAATTCTTCCAACACAGATCTGTTGGTTCTTTTGGCAGCCCATGGCACTTTCAATATTCTCCTCTAATACCATAACTCAAAAGCATCAATTCTTCTATGGGCTTCCTTATTCACTGTCCAGCTTTTGCATGCATATGAGGTTATTGACAATACCATGGCATGCATGGATCAGGCACACCTTAGTCTTCAAGCTGACATCTTTGTTCTTCAACACTTTAAAAAGGTCTTGTGCAGCAGATTTGCCTAATGCAATACGTCGTTTGATTTCTTGACTGCTGCTTCCATAAGTGTTGATAGTTGATCCAAGAAGAATGAAGTCCTTGACAACGTCAATCTTTTCTCTGTTGATAAGAATGTTGTTTATTAGTCCAGTGTGTTTGTGGGGTAATATATTTATGTGGGGTTCTGGCATGGCACCATAGGATAAGCACTGGACTGTTAACTCAAGATTGGCAGTTCAAACCCACCAGCCCCTCTGCAGGAGAAAGATGAAGTTTTCTGTTCCCACAAAGATTTACAGCCTCAGAAACCCTATAAAGCGTTTCTGTGGGTCAGAACCAACATGACAGCACACACCACCAACGACAAAGTGCTGTGCAAGCCACTCTGCATACATTGTTTATGATACTCTAGATGTCATTATTTTTTTAAATGTCTACTTTATTATTGGTGAAAACATCCACAGCAGATGATACCCATATTCAACCATTCCTACATGTTCAGTTCAATCAGTTCAGGGACCCACGTACCATCCTCATCATTCCTCACACTGCTTCATCACTAGTGACTTAGGTTCATCTCAGACTTAGTCACTGTTGTCAAGATCCCCTTTTTCTAAATTGCAAAATAGAGCAGGAACACACACACAAAATGATCCCACATGTTCAGTTTAATACATAAAACACCCATGCTCCCAACCCCCAGATCCAGATGGGTTGGTGGTGTGGGGGAATCCCCACATACAATTATGTTGTTCAAGTCTGGAGCATCTCCAGATGAGTTGTCCAGGTAACAATTTCTGCAAACACAGTGCCATACCTTCTTGAAATGAAATGAGCAATGGAAACCCTGTTTGCCTCTCCTTGAGGATAATTGGATTTCATGGGTTACATTTCACTTAGAGGTTCTCCTGTGATGCTGACATCAAGAAATGTATCCCCAAGGGGTAAACAAAGGTACATCCTGTGACAATCCATGAGCAAACAGGAGGGGATGTGGGTGGCAGGCACTTTTGGGAAGGAAAGTAATCTGGCAAGAGCTATTAAAATCCATAGTGCAAATGCCTTCTAACTGGGAGAGCACACTTGGGGGATTCATGTGAACAGGAATCAAAGCCGAGGGACAAGAGGCTGTTACTGTGGAAGATTCTTCACCGTGATGACAGAAGTTGGAATGTCTAGGGATCGATCTGTGTATGTTTCGGAATGTCTATTTTCAGAAAAGGTTGAAAAGTAATAAATCAATCCCAAAATTATGAAGGCCATCAATGAAAAAATAGGAACAAATGTGAGGGTACTAATTCAGGGCATACAGAGACTACCAAACATTTTGAAAACTACACAGACAAAATAGTTGATTGGGAAATATTAAAAATTAAAAACTTATGTGCACCAAAAGACTTCACCAGAAGAGTAAAAAGGGAACCCACAGAATGGGAAAAAATCTTTTGTAATGACACATCAGACAAGAGACTCATTTCTAAAATATATATAGGAAATTACAATACCACTACAAGAAAAAGACAAAACAAACAAACAAATAAACAAAAACTATTAAAAAGTGGGCACAGGGCATGAACAGACACTTCACCAAGGAGGAGATCCAGGCAGCCAACAAACATATGAAGAAATGTTCACAATTACTAGCCATTTTTGTAGTTGTTAAGTGCCATTGAGTCGGTTCCAACCCAAAGCAAACAGGGTTTCCGAGGAGCAGCTGGTGAGCTTGAACTGCTGACCTTGCAGTTCAACTGGCTTTGCAGTCTGGCGCATTAGAGATGCAAATCAAAACAACAATGAGATATCATCTCACACCAGCAATAACAGCAAAGACCAAAAAAGTAGAGGGCAATAAATGCTGGCGGGGATGTGGAAAGACTGGAACATTCATGCATTGCTGGTGGGATTGCAAAATGGTCGAACCTCTCTGAAAAACAATATGGCACTTCCTCAGAAGGTTGGAAATAGAAATACCTTATGATCCAGCAATTCCTCTACTTGGTATTTACCCACAAGAAATGCTGTGGGTAAATACCAATAAAAGAAAAGCTGAAACACGAGTAGATATATGCACACTTATGTTCAAAGCAGCACTATTTACAATAGCAAAAAGATGGAGACAGCCTAAGTACCCATCAACTGAAGAATGGATAAATAAACTGTGGTACATACAGACAATGGAATATTATTGTACCTTGAAGAATAACAAAGAAGCTGCAAGCCACTGCATAGCATGGATGAATCTTGAGGACATTATGTTGAGTGAAATTAGTCACAAAAGGACAAATACTGCATAGGACCACTACTGTAAAAGACTAAGAAAAAAACACCCAGACTAAGGGTGTGTGTGAATTATTTGCTGGTTACTGGGACGTGGAGGGGTGGGGTGAGGGAAGGGAGGGGAAGGTGGGACACAGGGTAGGGAATAGACACAGGATAATTTGGGTGCTAGGGAGTGGGGCAATACACAAGAAGAGGGAGGGGAATGGAAGAACAAGGTAGATGGGAAAATAATTAGGCAGGTTTGCATGGGCTAAGTGGGACAGAGGTAAATAATGATGCATGCACAAACTTGGAATACAGGGATTGAGACATGGTTGGATGGGGAAAAGGGGGGAAATAATGTTAAGATGCTTGGCTGTCTTTTGAATCTTGGTTTCCCTGGCATACCATTATAGAATAGACACTTGAGGGGGAGAGAAAGGAATAGCCAGAAATATCACCATAGAAATCTTCTGCCAATAACTGATTGGAATACCTAAAATGGGGCTACAACGTGCCCAGTGAAGGAGGCTTCCATAGACCATAGGTGGAATTCTGAACCCCATCCAGAATCTTCTGAGTGGGAAATTTCCACTTGAAAGGATGGGCAGACCAGTCCGGAGTGGTTAAAAGAACAAAAAATACTTCTGGACAAAAAGCCCGACAGGAAAAATACAAAATAATATAGGCAGTCCAACTGATTACTGCAAGAACAAGTAAGTTACTCACCCAGGAGACATCAAGACAAGTGGCCGGGTTCTCTTAGGGCAAACCCTCTTCCAGGATTAAGACTCAATGGGAATACACGAGCAGATATGTGCTCTGATTGGTAACCACATTCATCACCGATAAGGGGAAGTGAGAGAAAAACAGTAATGAAGTTGAGAGCTAAGCCCTACCACATTCAATAGACTCTTGTGAACCTGGGTGGAGAACTAGTTGGCCAGCAGTGTGGGAATACCTGGTGACTCTTGGGCCCAGAGTCAGTGACATATCCATGGAGGGCTAGAGTTGAGAGTGAAGTGTCCAGCTGATAAGAAGAGAGGGCATATGCATAAGAACACCCACACTTGCAGATAAAACCCACTTGACCTGGCTTCAATGACTGGATGATCAGAGCTCAACTAGAAGATGAAAGAAGAGGAAAAATGAGTAATCTGATACAATTTGATGAATTTGACTTATACCTATGGATGCAGTAGCTCAAAAGAGGGAACAAACCTTTACAGCGAGGATCATTCACACCCCCTCCATGCACAGGGTAAACAGGGATGGGCAACTTGGACATTGGCTACCCAAAATGGGTGGTGGGGGAGGCTACAAAGGTAAGAAGTGACTGGCTTGCAAGCTTTCAAGAGGGAGCCTAGATCCAGAGGGCGTGGAGGAAGGTAGAATCTCCACTGAGTAATATCCAATCTGTCTGGGCAGGGCTGATGAAAGGAGATGGGAATAGGTCTCTTGTGGTACAATAGTGATAATTGTTATCAGGACTTACTGTGAGTGCTGGAAATGTAAAGGTAGACATTTTATAGCAAAAGGAGGGGAGTGATTGCAGTCCAGGAGCAGAGGTCCCTGGGACCATCAAGGGAGACAAAAGGAGTGTGGGACCCTACCCAGAGAAACAGTGATGCCAGAGATGGAGGCAGAGATGATGACATGGAGAAATGGAGTGTCTGGGGACTCTAGACCCAAAAAGGGAGAGGGGCTGTGTGCTGACGACCAGGGTGGGGGGGTGGGGGGGGACAGTGACAGGCTTGCAGGTTGGTTTGTTGATGATGCATGAAGGGGATTGTAACCATGGCAGTGAAACAATATACGATAGGGTGAATGTAAAGCTAATGTTCTCCCATGTAAACTATCATATAATTCACAATAAAACATTTTTTTTTTAAAGTAATAAATCCCCTATGAAGTGCCTACTTAAAAGGGAGTTGTGGGACATCCACCCTTCTCAGCAGAAGCCCATTCAGAATGACCTGCTTTCCTGGTGTGGGTGGGACGCTTCCATTGTTTCAGACCCGGTACTCATCCATCTCTCCTCTTTTGTCTCAGATATTGCAGGCACAAATGAGATGTGGAATAAGTTGGAAAAGAACCTTTTGGATGCCCTAGACCCTGAGGTGCAGAAGGACTATGGGCGGGACTATGTCCTTGCCCTACGGAATTTTGTCCGCTCATTGCCTCTGATGTGCAGCTCAGACTTCTCCCCTCTGCTCCTGGATATTTCTCATGCGGTGTCTGCGAAGAGCCCCTTTGCTGTGTACACACCGGGGAAAGGGTGTTACCTGTGGATCTGCCTTGCCTCCTTCCTCCCTGCTTCGGTGTTCGATTTTCTCAAGAAAATAGAGTTAGGGTTCTTTAAAAAGATGAAGAATGGTAAGCACACTGCCCTGCAAAAATAAGGCCAAGGAGCCAGTGGCGGACTTTAGAAAGTGGGGCGTGTCACCATCTTGGAATCAGGGCAAGCCTGTGAGCTTCCAATTAAAGTTGTTTTTTTTTCCTTCTGACCTTGGTTTTCCTACTGAGCTTTGTTGGTTGGATAGGACTTAGTGGAGAGAAGGCAGGAGAATGATGCCAACCATCAAAAACATCCACTAAGAGCGTCACCTAATTCTCATCAATGACCTGAGGAAGGTATCTCATACCTTTTCTTTACTAGGTAAGGAAAGCCCTAGTTCATTTGCACACAGCTAGCAGTATGGCACTGTGGGTTAACGCGCTGGACTGCAAAGTTGGTTTGAATCGCAAGGTTGGCAGTTCAAGTTCACCAGCCACTCCTTGAAAACCCTGTACAGGGTCACTATGAGTCAGAACTGACTTGACAACAAACAACAACAACAACAACAGATAAAGCTGCAGTTCAAATCCAAGTTGGTCTCCATTGCCTGCCAGGAATGAAGAGAAAAAGGAAAGCAGAAAGGGAGAAGAAGAAAGCCCTGGTGAGAATGATACTGATCCCCAATGTTCTAGCTGACTCTCACTGTTCGCACTTGTCATGGTTTTTGATCATTAGGAGGAGCCCGTCTCTAACAAAGGGCATCATGCTTTGTAAAGAAGTTGTTGTTCTTAAGTGCCATCGAGTTGGTTCTGACTCATCGTGATCCTGTATAGGGTTTCCGAGAAGCATCTGGTGGGTTTGAAGAACCGACCTTGGGGGTCACAGTCCAGTGCTGATCCTACAGTGCCATACCAATAAAACAGAGGAAGACCCCCAACGAGATGGGTTGACACAGTGTCTGCAACCATGGGTTGGAGCATAATGGTTGTGTACGTGGTGTAGGCCCAGGCAGGGTTTTGTTCTGTTTCCTTGAGGTTGTTAGGATTTGGAGCCAACTTGAAGGCGGCACCTAGACAACAACCATGGTCTAGAAAGTCACTGTGGACACTAACTTAGCGGATCTGGAATCACTGCTCCTGAGAGATACACGTAGGGTTCGGTTTCTGTAAGTGTCTGGTCACAATGTGTTCATAAAGTAATCAATGCATAACTTTACACTCTGTGCATATCTACTTATACACAGTTTACTAGAGAGCTGTTGTTGATGCATCAACGTTGTACACATGGACTATAGCTCACATCTAAACGAAACTCATGGAACACACATGTTTTCTCTGCCGGGTGCATCAGCGTTTTCTTGTGCTTAGGGCCACTAGAGAGTACTTTTTGTGGTGTGTGGTGGGTGCATTTTAAACAGCAAAAAAAAAAAAAAAAACCACAAAAAATATACAGACTGGTCCTCCTCTTGCGCTCTCTTGTTAATGGTGGGCGGCGGCTTCTAAGCAGGACACAGATAACCGCTGCCCGCACGGGGGAAACTCTTCCCTGCCTCCCGCTTTCTGCCAGTGCCTGAGCTCGCCAACATGTCCGTGGTGCCATCCAATCACTTGTAGACCGGTTGGCCCTGGGGCGTCAACCATTTCGCCAATGAGTACATCCAGCAGACCAAGCCCCTCACCCTGGAGCGCACCATCAATTTGTACCCTCTTACCAATTATACTTTTGGTACAAAAGAGCCCATCTATGAGAAGGACAGCTCTGTTGCAGCCAGATGTCAACGAATGAGGGAAGAATTTGATAAAATTGGAATGAGAACTGTGGAAGGGGTTCTGATTGTACATGAGCACCGGTACCCCATGTGTTATTGCTTCAGCTGCGAACAACTTTCTTCAAATTACCTGGTGGTGAACTAAATTCAGGAGAAGATGAAATTGAAGGACTAAAACGTTTAATGACAGAGATACTAGGTCATCAAGATAGAGTCCTTCAAGACTGGGTCGTTGATGACTGCGTTGGTAACTGGAGGAAAGCAAATTTTGAACCTCCTCAGTATCCATATCCATATCCAACATAAGAAGTTGTTCCTGGTTCAACTTCAAGAGAAAGCCTTGTTTGCAGTTCCCCCAAATTACAAACTGGTAGCTGCAGCATTATTAGAATTGTATGACAATGCATCAGGATATGGACCCATCATTTCTAGTCTCCCTCAATTTTGAGCAGGTTCAATTTTATATACAACTGAATTCCTGCACAGCAGAGAAGTACAAGAAGCCATCTCTGTGAGCACAGCTAACCACAGTGTAGAATAATTAACATGGTAGACAAAGGTTCTGGCTTTATCTCTTTCCCAATCCCTAAATTGCTCCCTACTTTCTATTGTTTGAATAGTAAAGTTAATAGGAATAACTAGATAGTGGTGTAAACAAATGTGATAATGTTAAATTGTCTTTTGGTTCTCATACTTTTGTGTACAGCATTAAACAAGTGGATTTTTTTTTTTTAACTTTACATTAAACTTTAAATATATATATATATACAGACTGTCAAAAGGACCCATGTTGGCAGTATGAGAGCTGAGGCAAGCAGAGTGTCACCTTGTCCCATCTCAGCTGGAAACATGAGTGTTGGACAGCCCAATCTTTTTGCCACTCTGCACTTCTGCCCAAAGCCAAGAGTGATACTGTGAAAGTGTCCTCAGGATTGATCTGAAGGTTACAAAGAAGCATTAGCAAGCAGGTGACTTCACAAATACAGATTCATGAATCTTGGGGCTTGATGGTGGTGGTACACCCAAGGTATTTGATTCACCATAAATCACGCGGTAGGATAAGCATTGGACTGCAAGGTCGATTTGAACCTCAAGGTCAGTGGTTCAAACTCACCAGTCACTCCTTGGAAACCCTGTACAGGGTTGCTATGAATCGGAACCAACTCGATGGCACATAACAATGACAACAACAAGAAGTGATCATTAGAAGGTTCTGGATAGAGTGGAAGAAAATTATGGAACAAAACTCAAAATTATTAAAGAAACAAAACTTTTCTTAGGCCAGGCTTACTGGTTGGGTAGAGACTGGTGGGACCCCCAAGAGACGATGTCCCTTAGTCACCCTTCAGGCCTGGAACTGAATTCACCCCCTAGTTTTCAGCCAAACAATAGTGAGGTCTATATGGGGGAACAGTAACACTAGGGAGGTATGTGCCCCAAAGAATTATCAATCATTTGAGATCCGATGGGCAGCATTTAACCAAGGACAAAGTTCAGAAGGGTTAGGTGGGAGGAAAGAATGGAAATAGAGAGGCTGGATGACTGATGTTTCATTGATAGTACACTGTGGGGGTTGAGATCAATGAGAGCCAACAAAATGTGTATGAATTGTTGAATGGAAAACTGACCTGCTCTTCAAATCTTTACCCAATTCACAATCAAAAGCTAAATATATATACATGTGTGTATGTGAGCGCTGGTGTGGCACTGGAGAATAAGTGCTGTACTGGTAACCACAAGGTTGGTAGTTCACTTTTGGAAACACTATACAGAGTGGCTATGAGTTGGAACCTACTTGTTGGCACTTAACAACAACAATATTGGCATGTGTGTGATCAGAGGTGTTTCTGCCTCTTCTTGCTCCATGCTAACTCTGCCAGGCGATGGTAGAATGAGGTGTCTCATATCAAGCTTGGACCCAGAGACGCTTGGTAAACCAGGGCATCTGGTTAGGTAGTTGGAATCTATAGCAACCATCACTGTAGTCTCCATTTGAATATCTCAGGTTGGCAAAGCCAGCATTATTACCTAGAGAAGTCTGGCTGAACCGAACAATGTCAGACACTAGTAGATCTATAAGGAGCTCTGGTAGCAAAGTGGTTATGAGTCAGGCTGCCAATCTCAAGATCAATAGTTTGAAACTATCAGTGGTTCCATGAGAGAAAGATGAGGCTTTCCACTCCTATAAAGATTTACAGCCTCAGAAACACCATACAGGGTCGCTAGGAGTTGGAACCGACTCCACGACACGTAACCACCATCACTGCCAGTGGATACACGAACATGCTCAGCTGGGGAAGGTCAAAGGGGAGGAATGGGAGAAAAAAAAGGGCATAATGAGACCCCCCCAAAATATCTGGTGTGTATGAAAGAGGAATCTTGGGGTGGCGCTACAGGATAAGCACTGGACTGTTAACCACAATGTTGGTGGTTCAAACCCACCAGCCACTCCTTGGAAACTCTATATAGGGTCATTATGCGTCAGAACTGATTTGACATTTATGGTACAACAATAACAGGTGTGAAAGAAGTGTGTCCAGAGCCCTTGCTCTGAAAATCTCCCCTTGTTCCATTTCCTTGATAGAAAATTGGGGCTTTTTTTCTGTTTCCCAACATCATGGAGGTTTTTGTGGTAGCAGATCAAATGACAAGGCTCTGTGATTTCAGCAGTTCAAAACTACCAGCTGTTCCACGGTTGAAAGATGAGGCTTTCTACTCCCGTAAAGATTTACAGCCTCAGAAACCCTGTACAAGGTCGCTATGAGTCAGAACCGACTCCACGGCACATAACAACAACAACAACTCATTCTAAATTTGAATTTTGGTGTTAGTGAAGAACATTGCATATATAATAGATTCTCAGCAGAATGAACACATCTGTCTTGGAAAAAGTACAGCCAGAGTGCGCCTTAGAAGTGTGGGCAGTGAGATTTTGTCTCATGTAGTTTGGACATGTGATCAGGAGAGACCAGTTCGTGGAGAAGGACATCATGCAATGACTATGAGCCTGATGCAGGAACGTGCAGCATTTCGTTCTGTTGTACATAGAATTGAACTGACTTGATGGCACTTAACATTTTTAACAGCTGGATATTACTGACTGCCCAGTGGTCTCTGTCACTGTTTCAGTGCTAAATAGAAAGGAAACAACACCAAAAATCAAGTGTAAGTGTTAATTTCCAAAACAGGCACTTTTCCAAAATAAGATCTGTGAAAGCCAACGTTTTCATCTGCGTACTTTAGGTGTTGAGAGAACAAAGCACTTGTGGAAACTTCAAAGTCTGAGGGAGGATTGAAGATGGTGTTCTGCTGTAAGCCAGGATTTCTCCAAGTGGAGTTCCTACATCTGCACCATC